TGTCTCTCCTCCACTTTCTCTGCATCCTTCCCAGCAGCTTCACTGCCACAACACAGCTGAGGGTTGGTCCTCTGTGCCCCTGAGCGCAAACTCTATAGGGGTAGTGCCTCTCAGTAATGAATGGACTGCAACTGGCCACCTATGTTCTCTTGAAGTCCCCAGCTACAGGAATTATCACTGCAACACTGGCAAGAAAACGTTTTCAAACTCTGACAAAATGCATGCCAAGGATAACTTACAGTGTCACAAACAATTCTGATTTACCTGTACCAAGGATTTTCTAAGGCTATTTGTTTTCATGCAGTCTTTCATGTCTATATAATGACCCAAATAAATTTCAAGTAGTACTAACAAAAAGCAGAATTACAGGATTAATAATATTAACAAGAAACCTAAATTGGTGACAAACTACAGTGAAACAAGGTTATAAGTCGGAGAGGTCTGTTTCATGTTGTGAATCAATGGAACTCGAATACCCAGGATTGCCTGTAGGGTTATTGGGGAACCTCACCATGGAATCAAAGATTTGTAGGAAAACAGTTTGTTACTGGAACTCCTAGGTACTGTCTCACTTCCAGTTTCTAATCTCCCTCTAAATATGATCTTACTTATAATTTACATTTTGTTTCTGATCATTTCTTTATTACCGCATCTTTGCTTGTTCTATGCATGTGATATTTTCTCTGATCTCTGTGAGGCATTCACTGTAATTCTATTTTTATTTGGGTTGTTCTATTTCCTCTCAGTCCCACTCTTCCTGTTTTTGCTCTTTCAGTCAGTGGTTTTCATCCAGTAGCTGGTGATCTTTAGTTGACTGTATATAGTCTTAAGCACTAAGGAGCTGAACAGAAAGCTTGTGACCAGGGTGGATCACACAAGAGGGAGATGAGCAGAACTGGTCATTTCACTGTGGGACCAAATATTAAATATTAGCATTGGTGTGTCTCTTCTGCTTCAGGCATTGACCCCAGAAAGGAATCCTATTGACTGCTGCCTGGGGATAACTGTGTCAGGCAGAAATCAAGGCACTTAGAGCTCAGAAGGGGATGGTTGGAAGTGGGGCCTTTTGGCTCACATCTGTAATTGCAGCACTTGCAAGGTTGAGGCAGGAGGATTGCTGTGTATTTGAGGCCAGTTAGTGAGGTTCAGGATAGCTTGAGCTACAGAGTTAAGGCCTTGTCTCAATCACACACACACACACACACACACACACACACACACACACACATAAAGTGAGGGAATGGCTGTGAGGTTAGAATGTAGATTTTAATTACCCTATTATACATCTGCCTTTTTATTGTGACTCCCTTCCTTTTTCTTTATCAGTACTTGAGTGCTTAGGTCTAAAAAGAGCCTCATATGTACCAGAGAGTATTCTACCACTGGCCTACATCTCAATCCCATGGCTGCACAATGCTTGATGATCAAGTCTAGTGTCTGTTCATCTTCTCCAGGATTGACTCCTATCTTTCTCTATGGTCTATAGTCAGCAACCTGGTTTCCTGGTTCTGAGAGTAACTGTACCACGTAGAGACTTCTAAGGAACTGTACAGAACAGCTTCCCTGATCACTTAGTATTTCTTAGGCTGTAGGGCAAGAGCCAACTTGCTTTTCCTTGATTTCACTTTCTGATACACTTTGGCGTAGCTTCCCCACGTCCTAAATTCCCAGTCTTCCTCTCTATTACAGACTTAGTTGTCCTTTCTTGTCTGTCCTCCTGTCTTCTGCTTTTCCACTGCACTTGTTGCCTAATGTACTGTTTTGTTTCATTTTGCTTTTTGAAAACCTCAAAGTCCTTGGTACTACTGGACTAAGCTACTAAGACCCACCTGACCATTTAAAGCGCTTATTTTGTTAAGACCCACCTGACCATTTAAAGCGCTTATTTTGTTAAGACCCACCTGACCATTTAAAGCGCTTATTTTGTTGTTATTTTAATGGCATTGCAAGGGAGCAGAAGTAGAGCCCAGGGCCCAGCCAACACCTTTAACAGAGGTCTCACAGCACTTTTTTTTTTTTGGTCTTTTTAAGACAGGGTCTCCCTGTAGCCCCAGCTGGCCTGGAACTCACTATGTAGACCAGGCTGGCCTTGAACTCACTCTGCCTGCCTCTGCCTCTCAAGTGCTGGGATTAAAGACATGTGCCACCACACCCAGCCCTCACAGCACATTCTTTAGAAAATCATAAACTGTGCTGAATCTTTGCCTTTTAAAGTTGGTTTCAGTTTCAGGCATTAATCTAAAGTCTAGAGACCTTTGGTGAAATTCCCTTCCTAGGCCTGAAGCACCGGCTAGTCAGTTTAGGGAATTATTTTCCTCTCTTTTGGTAAACAAGGAGGCTGAATAGACTGTGGGTCATGAATAATCAATAAGTTACTATACTGGTTGTTGTGGGGATGCCTGTAATCCCAGCCCTCAGAGTCAGAGCCAGGAGGATTCCTACAAATTCTCAGTCAATCAGGACTACAAAACAAGGCCCTGTATCAAAAAATTAATAAATTAAAAAGAAAATAACTAAATTATAGCTCATCACAATATGGCAAAAAGAAAAATCTGGGAAACAACATCACCTTTCTTTTTTTTAGATTTAAAAAAAAATACTTTTTTTGGGCTGGAGAGATGGCTAGCAGTTAAGAACACTGGCTGTTCTTGCAGAAGACCAGAGTTTGAATTCCTGCACCCACATGGCAGCTAACAACCCTCTGTAACTCCAGTTCCAAGGGATCTGATGCCCTCTTCTGTCCTTTGCGGGCATTGTACAGCACGTGTGCACTTACACACATGCAGGCAATACACGCGTACACATAAAATAAAAAGTATTTTTGTTTTTTGTTTTATTTAATATTTTTATTTTATGTGTATGCATGTAATGCCCACATGTAGTAGGTGCACCCTTGTTATGCAGTGCCCTTGGAGGTCAGAAGAGGGTGTCAGATCCCCTGGAACTGAGTTACAGAGAGCTGCCATGTGGGTGCTAGGAATCAGACACAGGTCCTCTGCAAGAGCAGTCAGTGCTCTTAACCCCTGAGCCATCGCTCCAGTCCCATCACCACCTTTCTTAAGAACACAAAAGTCATATAATATTCTAACTAAAACTAAACTAGAAAATTCTGTGGGAACAAATCACTGCCCCAAATCATGCCAACCTGCTATTTTTATTTTTTTTGGGGGGGGGTTGACCTTTTTGAGATAGGGTCTCCCTGTAGCCACAGCTGGCCTGGATTTGCTGTGGAGACCAGGCTAGCCTTGAACTCACAGGGATTCTGGATTAAAGGCATATTAAATACCTTGCTTGTTTTATCTTATTATCTCAAGGGAGCTTATTTTATTATCTCAAGGGATCTTATTATCTCAGGGGAAACAACATAAGAATTTAATGTCATCACCCATATCTCCTGTCCCAGGAGAAATAGTTTAGGGCATCAATGGTGGTACCTCTTCCCTGTCTAGTAGACATATTGTATCAGTGACTGACTCAGGTGACAAGTAAATATATAGGCCTGCTTTGAAAACTGGGATTAATTTCACCTTGGAACAAGCTTTGCAAACAGTAAATTAGAGCCAAAATAATAACCTCCGCAAGCCAAGCACAACAACTATGACTGGTAAAAAAAAAAAAAAAAAAAAAAAAGGTGACTGCAAAGTAATAACATTCTATGTGAGTCAGAATCTTTCTTCCTAGGCAGATTGAGAGCATGGTGCTTTGGAGTCCTGATGGCCTTGTTAAGAATATCCACAGCCTACTGAGATGATCACTCTCAAAGGATGCATGTAGTTAGATTTATGTGTTGGGTCCAGTTTGATTTTGGGGTGGGTATTTTTGGCTTTTAAAATGATTTTATTATTTTTTTAAATTTTTTTTAATTTTTATTTTATGTGTATGAGTGTTTTGCCTGCATGTATGTAAGTGCACCACATGTGCACAATGCCCACAGAGGCCAGAAGAAGGCATTGGACCCCCTGAAACTGGAGTTATGGGGCAGTTGTTAGCTATCATGTGGATGATGGGAACTAAACCTTGGTCCATTGGACCCCCTGAAACTGGAGTTATGGGGCAGTTGTTAGCTATCATGTGGATGATGGGAACTAAACCTTGGTCCTCTGCAAAAGCAGTAAGTGCTCTTTACTGCTGAGCCATCTCTCTAGCCGCCTTATTTTTTATTATGTGGATGGGGGGGTGCACATGATTACAGTGCCCAGAGAGGCCATAAGAGGTCGTTGGAGTTGCAGACTATTGTGGGCCACCAGATGTGAGTGCTGGAAACTGAACTCAGGCCCTTGGAAAGAGTAGTAAGCTCCCTAGCCCCTGAGCTATACAGTCCCTTGGTTTGATTTTTTTGTTTATTTGATTTTTGAAGTCCTATTGCTTTATAGTGACATTTTGTGTTTTAACATAGAAATGGAAGACAAAGAATAGCATAAAAGGAGCTAAGAAAGAAAGGCTGTCCACAGCAGCCTTATGTATATTTGTAAAACATGGATTTTAAATAACAAGTTTATCATAGAAACAAAAAACATTCTAGAGTAGAAACTGGCTGAGAAAAGTGATGTCATATGTCATATCCTTCCAAAGAACAGGTATGTGTGGAATGTCCACTTTGAGGAATCGTACACATAAGATGATTTAAGTAAAAATATCAGTTCGAAATGGTGAATGCACACAGAATAATTTAATACAAAGGAATGTTTGTGAAAAATACTAGCTACTTTTAAAATTAGTTGTTTTTATTTTTGTTGTTCAAATTTATAATAAAATAGCAGAAAATTCCCTTTTCAGAAAAAGAATCACTTCTTAATTCTTAACGAGCCAAGTCTTTAAGCAGTATCAAACAAATCCGGATACATTTTTTTCTGGAATACCAGAACACCTTTCATGAAACTTATGGAGTTGAAGGACCAATGTTGAAGTTAGCAGAATAGTGAGTACTTCCTATTTCACAAGGAGCTCAAACAGTGGAGGCCCTAGACTGCTAGAGGAAGAAGGAAGTTAAAAGATGCTTAAATACTGAGCCCTCTTTCTCCAGTCAGCCTGCTGTTTTGGCTTCACAAGCAACATGAAGGCTCTCCTTACTCTGGTGCTTTTCCTACTTTCTGTCACTGTCCAGGGCAAGGTCTATGAACGGTGTGAGCTGGCCAGATCTCTAAAAAGACATGGAATGGATGGCTACAGGGGAATCAGCCTGGCAAACTGTAAGTCTTCTCTTCCTCAGCCCTCCTGATAGGTACCAGCTACAGAATAGGTACAGGGAGAGAATAAGTGATCAGAGAGGGAGTTGAGCAAACAACCTTTTTGTGCTTTCTGTGTGTTTGGTTACTTGGTTAAAAATATCAGTTTTGGGGTGGGAGAGGTGGCTCAGCAGTTAAGAGCATATGCTGCTCTTACAAAAGACCCTGGTTCAATTTCCAGCACCAGCAAGGCAGCTCATACCTGCCTTCAACTCTAATTCCAGGGAATTTGCCTTCTTTTGGCATTTGTGTGCCCCAGGCATGCATGTAGTGCACATACATACACGCAGGCAGAACACTAACACACACACACACACACACACACACACACACACACACACACAAAATAAAAGCCTTGCATGGTAGCACATGCCTTTAATCCCAGCACTTGGAAGGCAGAGGCAAACAGATCTCTGTGAGATCGAGGCCAACCTGGTCTACACAGAAAGTTCAGGCCTGCTGGGGCTTCAAGGAGACCCTGTCTCAAAAAAAAAAAAAATCTTAAAAAAACCCAGTATGGTCCTTTAGAATCAAAGATAGTGGGGTGGTGGAATAGTAGGAGAAATTCCATGTCATTCTAAGGCAAACAGGACTTAAGATGTTTGAGTATCACTAGGTTGCCCAGTTGCTTCAGATTCAACAACCCATGGAGGCTGATAAAAGATGTAAGGATTCAATCAGAAACTGGGTTCTGAGAGCCCAAAGTGACTTGATAATTTCTCCTGCCTGGACATGGAATTTTTAAGAGAAAAAGTTTCAAATTTTTGTTGAGCTCACCAAGTAGGGCAGTAGATATACTGTTCTCCCCAGTCTCTGTTCACATGAAGGTCTCTCAAACTACGAATCAATGACTTAGGACTCTTACTCACTTAGGACAACCTTCATGTTACCTTCCACAGTGGAAGATGTGCCATGAGAAGCAGTTCCTTCATACAGTACTTTGTCTACATCACTGTAGCCACTGTGCTTTTCACATTTAATTTGAATACATGCTGCTCAATAACTTTTTCAATAACTGAATCAACAAGGAATGTATTTTTTGTATGTATATATGTATGTAAGAAATCATAGAATAGCCTTTCCTGTTCCAATATTATTGTACTCAAGGTTCTAAGTAGGGGGCTGGAGAGATGGCTCAGCAGTTAAGACCACTGGCTGCTCTTGCAGAGGACCTCGGTTCGATTCCCAGTACCCACACAGTGGCTAACAACTGTTCGTGACTCCAGTTCCGAGGGATCTGATGTCCTCTTCTGATCTCCGCGGGCATTGCACAACACAGATGTACTTAATAATATTTTTTATTTTAAAATTTCTTTAAATTACTTTTTATTTTATGTGTATGAGTGTATTACCTGCATTTGTATAAGTGAACCCATGTCATGCAATGCTTTCAGAGGTCAGAGGTGTTGGGTTCCCCTGGAACTGAAGTTACAGGTGGTTGTTAGCCTCCATGTGTGTACTGGGAACTGAACCCAGGTCCTCTGCAAGAGCAGTCAGTGCTCTTAACTGCTGAGCCATCTCTCCAGTGCCAATAAAAATATTTTCTTAATTATAAAAAAAGATTCTAAGTAGCCAGTTTTGGTGATGCACACTTCTAATTCTTGCACCAGGATGCTGAGGCAGGAGATCACCAGTTCCATGCCCACCTATGATATTTAGTGACACTCTGTATGAAAAGAAGAAAAGAATTATAATGACGTGCAAATTTACCTTGGTCATAAGAAAAAAACTTTGGGAAAATCCTTAGTATTTCTAATAAAAATCATTTTAACTATGAATTTATGTAATCCACCTAACAACTATTTATTTTCATTCTATGATGAGGTATCTTGAAGAAGAGAACAGGGAGGGTAAAAACAAAGGAAGAAATGGCTATTTAAAGTTTTAAAGTACCTCATCTTGTTTTATTAGTGATACAATTGATTTACCCTTCAAAGGGATTCTCTAGGGGAACTTAAAATAACATGTTGACTGGGCACAGCAGTCCCACCTACACGAATGGCAAAGGCAGGAGAATCACTTGAGCCCTAGATACTACCCCATGCAACATGGCCAGACCCAGACTGAACTAGTGATAACATATTTTATATGTTAATAGATTTGTGCTTATAAAGTCACCTATAAGATAGAACTAGCTAAACACAACTAGTATGCAATGTAAATCATGTAATAGTGCTGATTGTTGATAAACATATTGTTTTTCAGGGGTGTGTTTGGCCAGATGGGAGAGCAGTTATAACACACAAGCCCAAAACTACAATCCTGGAAGCCAAAGTACTGATTATGGGATATTTCAGATCAATAGTCGCTACTGGTGTAATGATGGCAAAACCCCGAGAGCAGTGAATGGCTGTAGAATCCCCTGCAGCGGTAAGACAAAACAGCTTTGGAGTGATGGCAAAGGGCCCATCTGTACAGGAGCAGAGATTCTGTGATATGATGTAACACTGAAGGAACATCAGGAACCTGGGGAGACCCTGTCTTTACTGCTAGAAAGCCATTGGTAATCACCTCAAAATTAGACAAGAAGTGAGGCTTAGGACATAATTCAGCTTGTAGAGGGCTTGAGATTCTATCATCAGCACTGTGCTGGATGGCTTTAGTGTCAACTTGACACACCTGGGTTGAGGGAGCCTCAATCGGGAAATTGCCTCTATTGGACTGGCCTGTGGCCATGTCTGAAGGGCATCTTCTTGATGAGTGATGTGGGAGGGCCCAGCCCACTGTGGGTGGTGCCACCCCTGGGCAGGTGGGCCTGTGTTGCATAAGAAAGCAGGCTGAGCAGGGGCCAGGAGAGCAAGCCTGTAAGCAGCATTCCTCCATGGCCTGTGCTCCAGCTCCTGCCTCCAGGTTCCTGCCCTGAGTTCCTACCTTGGGCTCCCTGATGAACTGTGACCTGGGAGATGTAAGCTGAATAAACCCTTTCCTCCCCAAGTTGGTAGTGGTCAGAGTGTTTTGTCACAGCAATGAAGAACAAACTAAGACAAGCACCAAAATAAGTAGATAGATGATAGATAGATAGATAGATAGATAGATAGATAGATAGATAGATAGATAGATAGATAGATAGAAAGAAAATAAGGGTTGAGGAGATAGTGCAGTGAGTACCACTTAAGCAGAACACCTGTGTTTGGTGGCCTGCCTTTATAACACCAGCACTGAAGAGTCTGAGAGGGGTGCATCCATGGGGCTTGCTGGCCATCTTCTAGCCTCAGGTCCCAGTGAAAGACCATGTTGCAAAAACAAGGTAGACTGTTCCTGAGGAACAACTCCAGAGGTTAACTTCTGGCTTCCACATAACATGTGCATATATGTGCATATGCACTTGCACACACACATTCTCCTGTACATACTACCACATACATACAGTAAATCAATAAAAATTTTTAAAAGAGGTGGTATCATTAAAAAAAAAAAAATGGGTGTTTTTGCTGGGTGAGATGGCGCATGCCTTCAGTCCCAGCACTTGGGAGGCAGAGGCAGAGGCAGACAGAGCTCTGCGAGTTCAAGACCAGCCTGGTCTACATAGCAAGTTCTAGGCCAGCCAGGGATACATAAAGAACCCAGTCTCAAAAAAAGTTTGTTTTTTTTAATATACCAAAGTTTCGGGAATAAGCTACTAATTTCTTGTAAGTAGCCTTAATAACGCTTTGTCCTAAAGATCGTCATTCTACCCATTCACTTAGAGGTGACTAGGGATGGTTTAGTTCTGTGGTCCTTTTTTGACTGATTTACTTTTTATTATGAAAATTTCTAACATACAGAAAAGAAGATATTTCTACAGTAAACACCTGCATGACATGTACCCCTTAGCTCCTAACATTTTGTCACTGCTGCTTCTTCGATGCACAGGCACACAGTGTATATACACATATACTATTTTTGTTGAGAGATTTGAGAATGAATTAGTAGCATCATGATATTTTATTCCTAAGTTCTAAAAATATAGTTTCTAAATAACTATTATTATATACAACAAAATGGATTAATTTATTTAGGATGAAACTCATTTTTTAAACATGAAAAAGAACGAACAAGTTTTATTACAGGCTTAAGACATGGAATTGTTAGAACCTAGGCTCATGATATAATAGAAACAGAGCACAATTTTTAGTGCATAAATCAAACGAGCTGGTACTGTTGTTAGAGGCTGTTCTTTGGTGCAGGGATTGAACCAAGATCCTGGGACACACTGGTCAATGATACTACCAATCGAGCTACACTGATTCTCACACTGCAAAAGTTACATGTTAAAATTCTCAAAAGAAAATGACTTCAGAATACCCTTTATAATTTAGTTAATATGACTTTAAAATGTTTTGTCACACAGTCATGCATAGTTATTGAAAAAAATTAGAAAGCACAAGCAAAAAAGGATATCACTCACAGTCTTGGACCCAGAGGTGAACTTACCTGGTGACACAAATATTCTTCAGGAAGATAAATCTATCATGTCTGTACATGTAAAGTTATAGCACATATGTACTCAGATACAAACATGTAAGGAATGTGTTTTTTACAAAAATTAAATTTTGTTCACACTGCTTTATCTTTTATTACACAAATTACATCATAACAACAAATACCAACCTGTATTATTATTTTAGAGTGAATACAATTCTACAGTATTAATGTTCTACAATTTGAAAACCCAACCCTTACTCTTATTTATTTTTTTATTTTGTGAGTACAAGTGTATTGACTCCCTGTCTTGCATTGTCCATGGAAGTCAGAAGAGAGCATTGGATTTCCTGGAGTGGAGTTACAGATGATTTTTAGCTGCCATGTGGGTGCTGGGACTCAAACCTGGGTCCTCTGCAAGTGCTCTTAACGGCTGAACTATCTCTCCAGCCCCTCCCCCCCCTTTTTGGTCTTTTTGAGACAGGGTCTCCTTGTAGCCACAGCTGGCCTGGAACTCTATGGAGATCAGGCTGGCTTCAATCTCACTAAGAATGGCTGGTCTCTGCCTCCCAAGTGCGGGGATTAAAGGTAGCCACAGTGTTGCCCAACTCTTACTCTTAAGCACCTGGGTTGCTTCCATTTTGCCTTTTATAAATTGCTAGGAGCAGCTTTATTCTTACGGGTTTTTGTACACTTTTTGTTTTTCTTAAGGATAAATTTTCACTGGTATAATTTCTGAGTGAAAATTACTAGCATCTTAAGTTTTACAGTGTTTCTGTACAAAGAGGAGTTTCCATCATCTTAGTTAATAATCCCACAGCATCCAATGATTATTCATTATTTTCAAACTTTTATTATTATTTTTATTTTTATTTTCAATACTGGGGATTCTAGGAACCAAAGTACTTGCACATTCCCAGCAAACAGTCTACCACTCAGCTGCATCCCCAGTCCTCCAGTGACTTTACAATGAGAAAAGGCATGATAGGTATCACGTCAAATGGAATGGAAGGAAGAGCAGCTTTTGTCCCCCAATCACAGCTACACAGGCACTTGGAGAATAATTTGTTGTGTTCACCGCTCAGCATCACAGAACAAAGCTGGCTCAGTCTACACTGAATATGAATTTCTTACGTCCGTCCTTTTCACGCCTCACCCTTCTCTTCCAGCTCTGCTGCAAGATGACATCAGTCAAGCCATAACATGTGCAAAGACAGTCGTGAGGGATCCACAAGGCATTAGAGCATGGTATGTTCTGAGTTTGAAGGGGAACTGTTTATCCCACTGTCCATGCACGCAGTGAGTCTTTCAGAGGCCAAAGTGTCAGTGTGAGAGCTGAAAACTGCAATTTGTGATTTATGCAGAACAATGAGTCATCTCAGTCCTTGAAAAACATTTTTTTCAAATGATTCGGGGCCTTAATTTTTTACTCCTTGAATTATTTTAGGTGATCTCTGAGGCTTTTAAAAGTTCACTTGTCCTACTACTTCTTTGCCATATCTTCAGACCATTTGCAGAATCAGTAAGTGTGCAATGCACATGACTTAACATTTATGTTCAGTGTTCTGCTTTCCCCTGGGGATTTGGGGAGGATCAAACTACCATGTAAACACATCTCCATCAGTTAATAGCAGTTTCTTGGTGTACCTATGGCTTGTGCTTTTCACTTTATCTTAATCAAAAGGCCAAAATGCAATTAGCCTATATTTTGTTACTGATACACTACTATTTTGCTCCCCTAAAGGTTTGAAGTATGGTGTATAAAAGGGAGACAAGTTTCTGGGAGGTTTTTTGTTTGATTGATTTTTGTTTCATTAGCTATACCTTATTGAGCACCTATACCAAGCAAGTTTTAAAAAAATTTTATGTATATGAGTGTATTGCCTGTATGTATGTAAGTGAACCTGAGTCATACAATGCCTGAGGAGGTCATAAGAGGGCATTGGATCCCCTGGAACTGGAGTTACAGATGTTTGTTAGCTGCCATGTGGGTGTTGGGAATCGAACCCAGGTCCTCTAGCAGCCAGTGCTCTTAACCATTGAGCCACCTCTCCAGCCCCTCCAAGCAAGTTTTAACTTTTTCTTCTTCTGTCTCACTTTCCTCCACAGGGTGGCGTGGAGAAACCGCTGTCAAAACCAAGATCTCACTCAGTACATTCAGGGCTGTGGAGTGTAACTGCCATACCTTCCTTCTTCAGCTCATTCTCTTTTTCACAATATGGAAGTACTTATGGCAAAGGTCACATTACCTTGGTTCCCCTTCAAACATGGAATTTTTAACAGAAACAGGAGTAGCACACGAACTTCTTCCTAAGAGGCTTAATGTTGGCTTTCTCATGATTTTATACAAAGTCTCCATTTTTCAGTTAGCTGATATAACTGATGCTGCTGAAATTTATCTAAAAGTTTGATCATCAAACACACCTCTATGCACCAGTTCTTCATCTTGATCTGAATCCCATTTCTCCCTCTATTGGATACAAATAGAACAAATGTTTACATAAGATGAATTATCTTAGGTAAAATCCCAGCTGTGTGAGCATCTGATGCCTTATGTGTGGCGTCATCCCCAGGCAGTAAAGCAACCACTGTGCTGGGCAAGGTGAATTTTGAAGAAGAAATCCAAGTGGATGAGAACAGAGAGTGCCTCCACCCAGAGATTTGTTATCACAGAATGTGTGACCTTTTGTATAAGTATTTTCTTAGAGCTAGCCTGTTTATAAAGCTTTAAACATAGATTCACAATTAATAGGCAGTCTGTTTTAGCTTTTGGAAGAATGCTTCAATGCATGCTGCTGATCATGAAGGTATTTGAGGGGATCAGTGAGATGTGCTGTTCCTTAATTTTGCCAATGTAGCTTTGTGTGTTTAGCTAAGCCTGAGACAGATGAGTCTTATTAATAAATGACCACAGGAATAAAATTATGTGTATTGTGAAAATATATAAATTACATGAAAGGTTCTGCATTTCAAACCTTGTCTTTGTTTAGACCCATCTTGGATTCTGGCAGAAAAACTTATATATATTTTGTAAAAAAAGAAAAACACTTCAACATGGCATTCCTAATAGCTTTTAAATCCTCACTTACACAAAGCCAGCTGGATATTGCTGCAGAAAACTCCAAAAGCAAGCTGACAAATCTCCCTTACTTGATCTCTAAGCAGCATTCAGAAAAGTGACACTTCATGCTCTAGAAACTTCTTCCCCACGTTCTGCACACTTATATGCTGTGTCACAGCCCACTGTGCTTCATGTCTCAGTGCTTGGCAAAGCACACTACTGCATGCTTGTAGAAATGGCTCTAGCGGAGTTCTCACTCACATCCTCCTCCACAGACCACATCTTCTCAGTCTTTATTTCTATTTTTTTATTCCATTTTCATTTTATAATGAGGAAATGTCCCTGGCTAAATCTTAATGCTTATTTGATATGTATTTATGGTTTATTTGTCCATAGGTTTATTCTCCAGGGTCCACTTATCCATGATCAACCAGTAATTAAAAATATGAAATGAACTGTTCCAGAAATAATGTTCCAATATTTATTTTACTTAGTTTAATAATTGCTTAGCTTTATTACTCATGCCATCCTGAGTATGTGATAAAATCCCCTACTATCCTGAGTCGTCCCTTGTCCAGTGTATTCACACTGTAGAGATGACCCACTTATTAGTCACTTAAGGCTAATTCGGATCAGTTTCACCTTGTCAGTATCCAAATACTCATGTTCCAATATTTATTTTACTTAGTTTAATAATTGCTTAGCTTTATTACTACTTATTTTTCATCTTTTCCTGTGCCTGATATATAAATTAAATTTTCTCATAGGGATATATTATGGAAAAAACATGATATATATGACATTCAGTATGTTGTATGCAGTTGAAGGCATCCACTGAGGTTTGTGGAATACACTCTCATGGATAAGAGAGGAATACTACAAGAAGCAGCACTGCAACTGACAAGAAAATATTTTTTCTTGACAAAATGCATGCCGAGGACAACTTACCAAGTAGTTCTGATTTACCTGTGCTGAGGATTTTCTAAGGCAGTTTTTCATGTCCTTATATTCTAACCCAAATATGTTTTAATTATTTAATACTAGTAGAAAATAGGATTAGAGGAATAACAGCACAACAGAAGCCTTACAATGGTTCAAACTAAAGTGAAACAAGGTTTTAAGACAGAGAGATCTGCTCCATCTTGTGAGTCACTGTAAACCAATGTACCTAAGATTGCCCATAGGGTTATCATAGGGTTATTGGGGAACTTAATCATGGAACCAAAAAGCCATTTTCAGGAAAACAAATTAGTCCCTGGGACTCACAGGTACTACGCCACTTCCAGTTTCCAATCTCCTTCTAATCAGAACCGTTAAAACTAGACCAAGGGGCTGGAGATACGGCTGATCGCTTCCTGATCTTCCAAAGGGCCTGAGCTGGGTTCTCAGCACCCACATTAGAGTGACTCACAACTACCTCCCACTCCCTCTTCTGGTCTCCATGGAGACACGCATACACAAATAAAATGAAAAACTTAAAAAGAAACTAGGTCAAATAGTTGCAGTGAGTACAAATTTGCTAACCATGAATTTATGTGAAAAATTTCACTCTGCTTTAGTTTTCTAGTTCAGAAAGTTTATCTGTGCACTTTGCTTCTCCCTGGGAGGGGAGATAATGATAGACTTTTAAAAATTTTAGGGTGGAGAAATGGCTTAGCAATTAAGAGCACTGACTGGTTTTGCAGAGGACCCGGGTTCGAATCCCAGTACACACACCATGGCTAACAACCATCTGTAACTCCAATTCCAGGAGAATTTGATGCCCTCTTCTGAACTCCACAGGCAATACACAACACAGGTCCACTTATATACATGCAGACAATACACACGCACACGCACACACACACACACACACACACCCCAAATAAAACATATTTAAAGAATTCCTGCTCATTTAATCTAATTTTAAGTAAAATAATACTACAAGAATTTTATATTGTGAGTGTTCATGTCTCTTGCTGTGGGGGAAATAATTTTAGGGTATCAACACCACCTTTCCTTTAAGATAGACACATGGGATTAGTGTTTTCAGTTTGGCTGAGAGTGGCAAGCAAATATCTAGGCCTGGTCTGAAAACCAGGATTCTAAGTCACTTTGAAACAAGACCCCTAAATAGCAAATTAGAGCCAAGCCTGGTCATCTCTGTAGGCAAAGCAGAGAATGGCAGCACTGATGAAAAACAAAGGTGACACCCTTCCACAGAACAGGCACACAAGACACGTCCATTTTGAGGAAATATGCATATGCAAATTTAAAAAAACATTTTATTTGGGCTGGAGAGATGACGCAGTGGTTAAGAGCACTGGCTGCTCTTGCAGAAGACCTGGGTTCAAATTCTAGTACCCACATGGCATCTAAGAACTGTCTATAACTCCAGTTCCAGGGGATCTGAAGCCCTCTTCTGTCCTCCATGGACATTGCATGAAATGGGTGTACTTACATACATGCAGACATAACAGTCATACACATAAAATACAAGTAATCAAAAAAATTTTTTAATTTTTATTTATTTTTATTTTATGTGTATGAGTGTATTGCCTGCATGTAGGTAGGGGAACCTGTGTCATTAAATGCCCACAGAGGTCAGAAGAGTGCATTGGAACCCTGGAACTGGAATTACAGTTGAGAACCACCATGTGGGTACTAGGAACCGAATCCAGGTCCTTTGCAAGAGCAGCCAATGCTCTTAACTGCTAAGCCATCACTTCAGCCAATTAAGATTTTAGTAAACAATCAATACAAAATGGTGAATGCACACAAAACAATTTAATCCAAAGAAGTACCAACCAAAAGTACCAGTTGATTTTAACAGTAAAAATTTGACATTTTTTCCTTTATAGTTGCTCAACTTGATAATAACATAAAAGAAACAAACATCTTTCAGAAACACTATTACCTCCTGATTCTTCCTGGGCCAAAACTTTAAACAGTATCACATAAATCCTTTGGAGCCTCTCCCTAGATCAACAGAACATTTCTCATCAAGAAGAGGAGGAAGAAAGTAAAACTGGTCATTCCAAGAACAACAAGCTTATTTTGCACAAAGCTTAAAAGGGGGGAACTTCACTCCTTTTCCTACTAGAAGAAGGAGTGAAAGGACACTTAAATACTGGGGCCTGATTACCCTAGTCAGCTGCTGTTCAGACCTCCCAGGCACCATGAAGACTTTCCTTACTCTGGGGCTTCTCCTGCTCTCGGTCACAGTCCAGAGCAAGGTCTTTCAGCGCTGTGAGTTGGCCAGAACTCTAAAAAACCACGGACTGGATGGCTATGAAGGAGTCAGCCTGGCAAACTGTAAGCCTCTTGTGCTTCATGCTCCAACTATAGACAGGTGGGAGGGGGAACTGAGTGATCAGGAAGAAGGTTTCAGTGAACAGATTTCTATGCTTCTCTGTTTGAGTTTGCTGTGGTTAAAAACATCAGTTTGGCCTTTAGAATCAGAGAGAGTAGGGTGAGGGCATGGGAGGTTAACTTCTGTGCCATTCAAAGGTAAACAGGCTGTGAGGTATACCCCAAGTCTCACTAGGTTTTCCAGTTGTCTCAGACTCAATGGCTCATGGAGACTGATAAAAGACAGTAGGACCCAGTGGGAACTTGGCTCTGAGAGCCTGGAATGACATGGTATTTTTTTTTCCTGTTTCATATATATATGAATAATATATATATTATTCAATTATACCCCCTTCCCCATTGGCACCCTCCCACAGCTGCCTCCTCCCCAACTGGATTTCATGCATTCTGTCATTTATGTTAAGGCCTATCAAGTCAAGTTAGTGTCCTCTGACGCCCCTCAGTGCAAGTTCATCCACTGAGGTCTACTTTGCCTATCTAGAGTCCCTCCCTTAAAGAAGATCAGATTTGGGGCTGGACAGATGGCTTAGCCATCTTACTTACTTTTCTTGCAGAAGACCTGGGTTCAAATCCCAGCACCCACATGGCTGCTAACAACTGGCCATAGCTCCAGGTCTAGGGGATTTAACAATCTCTTCTGTCCTCCGTGGGCATTGCACAACATGTGTCCACTTACATACATGCAGGAAATACATGGCATACACATAAAAATGATGAATAAAATTTAAAAAAAAAAAGAAGAGGGCCTGGAGAGATGGCTAAGAGCACTGACTGCTCTTGCAGAGGACCCAGGCTTGATTCCCAGCACCCACATGGCAGCTACGAACCATCCTTAACTCCGGTTCCAGGGGAATCCAAAGCCTTCTTCTGACCTCTGTGGCACTGCATGACATGGGTGCATTCACATGCATGCAGACAATATACACATAAAATAAAAATAATAAAAATTTTAAAAAAGATCAGATTTTCCTCACCCCATAGTAATCAGCTGCCCAATAGTTCTTCGGCTAAGATTTCGGCCTGCTACCCATTTCCAGAGTCTTAATTTCCCCTGCCATGACATGGAATTGATGTTTAAGAGAAAAATTTCCAAGTTTTTTGGGGGGACCCCAGTTTCTCCCAGTGACTTTAAATGAGGACCTCTGACATTGGGCATAGAGTGACTTAGTACTCTCATTCACTCTAGGGAGACCTTTGCACGTCTTTCCATGCAATCGAAGATGTGCCATGAGGAAAAGTTCCCTCATAGACTACTCCATTGATGTCACTGTAACTACTGTGCCTTTCATGTTCAGTTCACAGTTACCCTTGCCATAACTAATTTTCAGTGATTGAGTGAACACATGGGTGGATGGATGGATGATGGATGGATGATGGATGATGGATGGATGATGGATGGATGGATGGATGGAATTACAGAATAGCCTTAACTGGCCCAATATTCTTGTATTCAAGAATCTAAGTAGCCAGCTGTGATGGCATGCTCCTGTAATTCTAGCACCTGGATGCTGAGGCAGGAATTGCAGGCTCCATGCCCACCTGAGCTACTCAGTGACACCCTATCTGAAAAAAGAAAAGAATTGCACTTGCTGTGCAAATTCACCTTGACAATAAGAGAAATCACTCAGAAAATTCTCAGTTTTTCTGATAAAATCGTTTTCTATCAGCATATGCTTTGGATCCATGATCTATGACATCTACCTGATGACAGTTTTTCTATTCTAGGCCAGCATATCCTGAAGGATGGGAGCAGGGGAGGGAAAGGCAATGGGAGAAATACTTTAACTTTCTAAGTGGAGACAATGAGTTCTTCACAGGTATTCTCTAGGAGCTTTAAAATAAATGTTGCCAGGGCACAGCAGTCTCACCTAGTTGAAAGGCAGAGACAGGAGAATCACTTGAGCCCTAGACACTACCCTGTACAACATAGCCAGGGCCAGACCCAGGCTGAAGCAGTGCTAGCATAGTTGAAATGTTTATATTTAAAACAAAATATTTTATTATTTTTATTTTATGTGTATGAGTGTATTGCTTGCATGTATGTGAATGCACCCATGTGGTGCGATGCTGCGAAGATCAGAAGAGGGCTTCAGATTTCCCTGGAACTGGAGTTAAGGGTGGTTTGTAGCTACCATGTGGGTGCTGGGAATCGACCCCGGGTCCTCTGCAAGAGCAGTCAGTGCTCTTAACTGCTGAGCCATCTATCCAGTCCTGATTTTAAAAACATTTTATTTATTATTCTGATTTTATGTGTATGAGTGTATTGCCAGCATGTATGTAAGTTGTAAGTCAAATTCACTGCTGGGAGGCCCACATGCCATCGGATCCCCTCCTCTCACTGTCCTTACGACAATCTGAGGAAAGAATTCTCCAAACCCCAGTTTGAAGACTCTTAATGAGTTTATTGGACTTGCTAACTGAGCTTGGGGTACTGGTTTGCTAACAGAAGAGTGAGCGCCCCCACCCCATTCATGGCATGTTCGAACATCCACACCCACACATAAATACCGTTAATCCCTCCCCTTCTAGCAACGAAGGTAAACCTATTGCCTGGAAGAGGTAATGGGCTCCTTCGCAGAGCATGGGAAGGAGGCAGGACCATGGCTTTTCATCACAGGGTCAGAGGAAGATTCGGGTCACATAAGTGCACCTGTGTCTTGCAATGCCCACAGAGGCATGTCTTGCAGTGCCCACAGAGGCCTGAAGAGGGTGTCGGATTCCCCTGGAACTGTAATTATGGATGATTGTTAGCTGCCATATAGGTGTTGGGAATTGAACCCAGGTCCTCAGCAAGAACAGCCAGGACTCTTAACCTCTGAGTCATCTCTCCAGCCCTGTGTTTGTACTTAGAAAGTCACTTGTAAAATACCACTAACTAAACACAGCTAGTTTTAGTATGCAATGCAAATCATTTAGTATTGATGATTATTGATAAACATACTTGTTTTTCAGGGATGTGTTTGTGCAAATCGGAGAGTGATTTCAACACACAAGCTACAAACTACAATCCTGGAAGCCAAAGTACTGATTATGGGATATTTCAGATCAACAGTTGCTACCGGTGTACTTATGACAAAACCCCAAGAGCAGTGGATGCTTGTGGGATCTCCTGCAGCGGTAAGACAAGGCAGCTTTAGAGTGATGGCAAAGGGGCCATCTGTACAGGTGCAGAGATTCTGTGATATGATGTAACACTGAAGGAGCATCAGGAATCTGGGGAGACCCTGTCTTTACTGCTAGAAAGCCATTGGTAATCACCTCAAATTAGCCATTAAGAAATGAAGTGTTGGGGGTGCACATGACTTCACTTTATGTTCAACATTCTGTTCTCTGGGATGGGGGAGGGTCAAACTACTGGGTGGACACACGTTCATCAGTCAAAAGCAGGTTTGGTATGTACCGATAGATTGCATTTCACACCACATCTTAGTCCAAAGGCCAAGACGTGATTAGTATAACTGACGTACCAATTCCTCCATAGGTTTGAAGTATTTGTGCCATAGAGGAGACAAGTTGTGACGTTTTCTTCTTCTGTCTCACTTTCCTCACAGGGTGGCATGGAAAAACCGCTGTCAAAACCAAGATCTCTCTCAGTACGTTCAGGGCTGTGGAGTGTAACTGCGGTCCTTTCCTTCTTCAGCTCATTCTGTCTCTTTTTCACAGTATGGAAGTACTTATGGCAAAGGTCACATTGCCTTGGTTCCCCTTCAAACATGGAATTTTTAACAGGAATAGGAGCAGTAGACAGACTTTTTCCTAAGAGCCTTAACATTGACTGATGTGCTCAATATTTTATGCAAAGCTTCCATGTTTCAGTTAGCTGATGTACTGATGCTGTTGAAATTTATCTAAAACTTTTACCATCCAAACCACCTCTGTGCATGAGTTCTTCATCTTGATCTGAATTAATCTCAATCCTCCCTCCATTGGATACAGATAGAATAAATGTTTACATAGGATGAATTGATCTTAGGTAAAATCCCAGCTGTGTGAGCATCTGATGCCTTATGTGTGGCATCATCCACAGGCAGTAAAGCAACGAGAGTCCTGGGCAAGATGAATGTTTAAGGAGCAGAATTCCAAGTGGATGAGTATAGAGAGAACCTCTATACAGAAATATTTTTTAATAGAGTGTGTGACCTTTTGTTTCAGTATTTTCTTAGAGCTAGCCTGGTTATAGTGCTTTAAACATAGATTCATAATTCAGTCTGTTTTAGCTTTTGAGAAAATGCTAAGCTTGGAAGGTCGCACCTGCCTTTAATCCTAGTACTTAGGAGGCAGAGGTGGGTGGATCTCTGTGAGATGGAGGCCAGCCTGGGTTCCATAGTGAGTTCCAGGCCAGCTGTGGCTCAGGGAGACCCTATCTCAAAAAGAGACAAAAAAAAAAAAAAAAAAAAAAAAAACAAAAAAGCTGATTATGAAGGTATTTGGGAGGCTGATGAGGTGTGCTTTCCTTCATTTCGCTAATATAGATTGTGCAATTAACTAAACCTGAGACAGATGAACTTGAAGTAGTAAGCACAGAACAAAATTATGTATATATATATATATATGTATATTGTGAAAAATATACAAATATACAAATTACCATTAAATGTTTTCAATGCATATTTTGTCTTTGTTTATATTCATGGTGTTTCGGGCTTGAATTGTGTGGGGTTATGAGAAGCTGTTTCTTTGTAAGTCATCCCCTCCCAAATGTGTAAACTATGAAAAATTCAATGTAACTCTGTTATGCCTGTTTGTCGATCTGTGTCAGGACCACGAGACCCTGAGTGAGTGAGGTCAGGCCAAACAGAGAGCATGAAGGGGAAAGTTTAGTGCAACAGTTACATATTTATTTACTTATTTATTCTCTCTGTTCTGCTTACCCACCATTAACCATGATCTCAAAATAGTAAATGAAAAATGCCAGAAGGAAACAATTGGTAATGTTAGAATTTCATGTCATGCCACAAATGTGATGAAACCCCTGCTGGCCTGCTCTGCTGTACCCATCACATGATCATCCCTTTATCCACTGTATTCACACCGTATGAACTACCCCACTCACTACCCCACTCACTAGTCACTTAGAGCCAAGCTGGGCACAAGTTTCATCTTGACAACATGTGAGTGCTCACATTACATACACGTTAGTCATTTAGATAACCCAAGACTGGCCGATTGCCCAGCTTTTTTGCTTACGTTTAAGCATTAACTTCCTTGATCATAAGCATAGGAACCTTTTTTACACTCTCACCATATACAAAACAAATTTTTCGACTTGAAAAATGTAGTCAGGAAGCCAATGAATAAAAGTCAAAAAGCATACACCATTCAACATAGCAAGTAAATGATTATTGTTAATATAAACAACTTAAGGAAAATCCTATTTATTTCACTGGGATTGTAGTGAAACAGTGAGAAAGAGGGTCTCCTAGAGGGTTCTTGGTCTCATTCATAAAAGAATTTAAGAATGGACCCAAACAGAAGCTTTCACAATTTTATTAGAATCTTAAAGAAAAATCCTCAGAGCCGGTGAGCTGGTAATCTTGGAAGCTGCCTTGAGGAGGTGACTAGTTGGAAGAAGGAAAGAAAATTATGGAAGTCATGCAGGTTTAGAGCCTGCATGGAGGTCAGACACATGACTGACTCACAGCCACATGGCTGGGAAAAGGAAGCTTTAGAGAAAAAGTGAAGAAACACAAGATGCTAGGGGCAGCCCAGAGCCTCAGAGAAATTATGTTTAGTAAGAAAGGCATGAAGAAGAAAAGGAGAAATTATACTTTCCTGAAGAGTTCAGGAAAGTAGACAGACTTACAAAGACCTACATGGTTGTGGCTGGTCTGGAAGTTCTGAGAGGATCTGAGCTAATTCCAGACAGGAAATATTCACTACCTTATCAACACACCAGGTATTCAGCCCATTTATTTAGCATAACTTAAGGTGAACCTACCTTCCTGCGAGTGGTTCTATCATCAGGTTGACCAGTGAAACTGGAAAAGTGGGTCCTCCAACAGATAGACTAGACATTTTTCTAGTCTGAACTAGTTCAATTTATGGGGCTCACTGATACTCTAACAGTAGAATACATTTGTTTCTAGATTAAATGTTAGAATGGTTTTTATATTCTTTTTTTTTTTTTTCCTTTGGTCTTTTTGATACAGGGTCTCCCTGTAGCCCCAGCCGGCCTGGAACTCACTATGTAGACCGGGGTGGCCTCACAGAGATCTGCCTGCCTCCACCTCTCGAATGCTGGGATTGAAGGCTTACACAACCATGCCTGGCATTTAGAAAGTTTTCAATAGCTGCAAACTTTAGAGAAACAAAATAGGATCTTTATCATTTAACATATATAAAATTGGTATTTTTCACACAGATATAATCATGTACATTTGTAGTTTAAAAAAGAACACCCTTCATATGCTCTTTAACCTAAAGCATACTTTTCCATTAGTGTTAAATTGCAGAGTCCCACAAACAACTAGTAATCACTTATTCAACTGTACACCTTTGTGAATGTAATATACTATACATGCAAAGCTGTTACCCCTACTACAATTCTACCTCTTAAATAATATTAGTTCATTTTATGCCTTTTTTTTTGCCATAGGAAATATCCTTTCCAATATACTGTGCTATTTTTATATGCATTATGTTTTCAAGTTTTTTCTTAAGTTTAAATGCTTTTCAGAAATGAATTCCCCTGGGTACTAAACTACTTGAGCTGAGTACGACTACTTTAAATATACTATGAGACTCTATGCCTGGGTCCCTGGGTATCTAATACTAGAACAAATCTACCTTGTTTGTATAGAAGATAACGCCACATTAAAATGGCTTCACATTTCCTATCACACTAATGCAGTTAGTGTCAATAAATACTGAACCCTCTCCTTTCTTCCATCCTGTTTTTCACTATGTAACAGAGGCTGGCCTTGAACTCCTGCCTCCACTCCCCAAATGCTAGGATTCCAGGTATGTGTCATTATGCCAGGCAGGACTCTAATTAAAAAAAAAAAAAAAAAAAACACTCGAGAAAACTGCTACTTCCACGTTTTCTGGGCAGCTTTTAGAGGTATGAATTCCCTTTTACAACAAACAAACAAAAAAAAACCTTTCTTTTTAGAACAAAACAACTACCTTTATTTCCTTAAGAAATGTAGAAAAAAGTGAAAGTCGTCTGATGTTTACCAAAGCAGAGTCTAACTTAGTGTTACATGACACCCAAAGCAGGCTCCATTAAGCTGCCTAATCAATCATGAAAAAGCCTGGAATCCTATCAACATTCAATTTAGACAAGAGCCTCTACCATAGGATATCCCAGTCTTCCAAGGATGTTCCTCAATTCACACATGCTACAAACAGGAATTTTTGATGCATAAATAAAAGATGAGATTGCTCCTTTTTTTTTTTCCTGTGCTGGGATTGAACCCAGGACCTGGCACATGCCACTCAAGTGAACGATATTAATTCCCACTCTGTTAAATTTGATTGTCCAATTTCCCAAGAGAAACTTGCTTTTCGAAACTTCTTCATAATTTAATTAATGTAATTAGAAAATATTGTGTATCAGGTATTCGTTTATGAACCCTGAAAAAATAAGAAAACATAAACCAAAATAATATTATTCATAGCGTTAGTACCCAGAGATTTCAGTTAACTGATAACTTTTGACAAATATGCTTCAGGAAGGTCAATCTATCTTGTGTGTACATATAAAGTTATATCATGTTCCTGTGTGCTCACAAACACATAAGGAATGTGTCCTTTTTATAAAAATGAAATTATAGGCAACCACGTATGGTGGTCCACGCCTTTAAATCCCACCACTTGGGAGGTAGAGGCAGGCAGTTATCTCTGAGTTTAAGGCCACCCTGGTCTATATAGTGAGTTCCAGGCCAGTGGGGGCTACAAAGGGACACTGTCTCAAAAAGACCAAAAAAATTATACTCATACTGCTTAATGATTTGCTTATCACACAGAATGACTTCCACAGCGAAAACAAGCACCAACCTGTACTATCATTTATGGTGAATGCAGTTCTACAGTATCAATTTGAAATCCCACCCTTACTCTTAAGCACCTGGGTTGCTTCCATTTTGCCTTTTATAAATTGCTAGGAACAGCTTTATTCATACAGGTTTTAGTATGTTTTTTTTGTTTTTTTATTTTTTTGGTCAAGGAGGTGCTTCCATCATCATAGTTAATAATCCCACAGCATCCAATGACTATTCGTTATTTTCAAAATTTTATTGTTCTTTTTTCAATACTGGGGATTCTAGGAACCAAAGCACTTGCACGTTCCCAGCAAACAGTCTACCACTCAGCTGCATCCCCAGTCCTCCAGTGACTTTACAATGAGAAAAGGCATGATAGGTATCACGTCAAATGGAATGGAAGGAAGAGCAGCTTTTGTCCCCCAATCACAGCTACACAGGCACTTGGAGAATAATTTGTTGTGTTCACCGCTCAGCATCACAGAACAAAGCTGGCTCAGTCTACACTGAATATGAATTTCTTACGTCCGTCCTTTTCACGCCTCACCCTTCTCTTCCAGCTCTGCTGCAAGATGACATCAGTCAAGCCATAACATGTGCAAAGACAGTCGTGAGGGATCCACAAGGCATTAGAGCATGGTATGTTCTGAGTTTGAAGGGGAACTGTTTATCCCACTGTCCATGCACGCAGTGAGTCTTTCAGAGGCCAAAGTGTCAGTGTGAGAGCTGAAAACTGCACTTGGGGCTTTTAATCCTACAATTATTTCAGGGAATTTCTCCACGCATTTTAAAACCTCTCACACTGCGTACTTCCTTCCTCTATTGTCACACTGTTTGCAGAATCAGTGAGTGTGCGATGCACATGACTTCACTTTATGTTCAACATTCTGTTCTCTGGGATGGGGGAGGGTCAAACTACGGGGTGGGCACACGTTCATCAGTCAAAAGCAGGTTTGGTATGTACCGATAGATTGCATTTCACACCACATCTTAGTATAACTGACGTACCAATTCCTCCATAGGTTTGAAGTATTTGTGCCATAGAGGAGACAAGTTGTGACCTTTTCTTCTTGTCTCACTTTCCTCACAGGGTGGCGTGGAGAAACCGCTGTCAAAACCAAGATCTCTCTCAGTATGTTCAGGGCTGTGGAGTGTAACTGCGGTCCTTTCCTTCTTCAGCTCATTCTGTCTCTTTTTCACAGTATGGAAGTACTTATGGCAAAGGTCACATTGCCTTGGTTCCCCTTCAAACATGGAATTTTTAACAGGAATAGGAGCAGTAGACAGACTTTTTCCTAAGAGCCTTAACATTGACTGATGTGCTCAACATTTTATGCAAAGCTTCCATTTTTCATTTAGCTGATGTACTGATGCTGTTGAAATTTATCCAAAACTTTTACCATCCAAACCACCTCTGTGCATGAGTTCTTCATCTTGATCTGAATTAATCTCAATCCTCCCTCCATTGGATACAGATAGAATAAATGTTTACATAAGATGAATTGATCTTAGGTAAAATCCCAGCTGTGTGAGCATCTGATGCCTTATGTGTGGCATCATCCACAGGCAGTAAAGCAACCAGTCTCCTTGGCAAGGTGAATTTTTAAGGAGCAGAATTCCAAGTGGATGAGAACAGAGAGTGCCTCTATACAGAAATATGTTTTAATAGAATGTGTGGCCTTTTGTTTCAGTATTTTCTTAGAGCTAGCCTGGTTATAGGAATATAGATTCACATCTCAGTCTTTTAGCTTTTGAAAAAAAATGCTAAGCTTGGGAGGTGGCATCTGCCTTTAATCCCAGTACTTGGGAGGCAGAGGTGTGTGGATCTCTGAGAGATGGAGGACAGCCTGGGTTCCATAGTGAGTTTCAGGCCAGGTGTGGCTCAGGAAAACCCTACCTCAAAAAAAGAAAAAAAAAAAAATGCTTCAGTGCATGCTGCTGATCTTGAAGGTATTCAGGGGGCTAATGAGCTATGCTTTCCTTAATTTTGCTAATATAGATTGTGCAGTTAACTAAACCTGAGACAGATGAACTTGAAGTAAGCACAGGAACAAAATTATGTATATTGTGAAAAATATACAAATTACCACTAAATGTTTTCAACACATACTTTGTCTTTGTTTATATTCCTGGTGTTTCGTGGAAATTTATATATATATATATGCAAAATCCAACATGGTTTCTACATCATCACCTACACATAATCATCTTGATATTGCTGAAGAAAACTCCAAAAGAAAACTGAGTAATCTTCCTTACTCCATCTCTAAACAGCATTTGACTTAGTGCGCCTCTCTCTACTTCTAGAAACTATTGTAGGTCAGCTTTACCCTTCTCCACAGAGTGCTCCTTCTCTACCTTTTTGTTGGCTGTTTGCCACTTTATTTCTCAGTATGGGAGTGTTCTGGTTCATAGCCTATAATGACTGTTTATTTGTGATTAATTTATTTAGTTATTGTGAGTTGGATGTTCCTCTGATAAGCCCTGGCCCCATCTACGTCCCAGGCTTTGCAGGAAGGGTGCAGTTCATTAAGGGACAGGGCTAAGGACAGTTGTGAATGCACATTGGGAAAGAGGGGTGGAGCCTAACCACCATAATTGAGAGAGTGGTGAATTGGAGAGTTAGGGCAGCCATGTTGGACCTCCAGGAGAGACTGGGAAAGGCTGGGCTTGAATGGTGTGGGGGTTATGAGAAGCTGTTCCTTTGTAAGTCATCCCCTCCCAAATGTGTAAACTACACAAAATTCAAAACCTGAGTGAGTGAGGGCAAGTCAGACAGAGAGCTTGAAAGGGAAAATTTAGTGCAACAGTTACGTCCTTATTCACTTATTTATTCTCTCTGTTCTACTCACCCAACATTAACCATGATCTCAAAATAGTAAATGAAAAATGCCAGAAGGAAACAATTGGTAATGTTAAAATTTCATGTCATGCCACGAATGTGATGAAACACCTTCTGGCCTGCTCTGCTGTACCCAGCACATGATCATCCCTTTATCCACTGTATTCACACTGTATGAACTACCCCACTCACTACCCCACTCACTAGTCACTTAGAGCCAAGCTGGGCACAAGTTTCATCTTGGCAACATGTGAGTGCTCATACGCCACTATTTCTTTTTGTTTTCATTACATACACGTTAGTTATTTACATAACCCAAGACTGGCTATGATTGCCCAGCTTTTTTGTTTATGTTTAAGCATTAACTTCCTTGATCATAAGCATAGGATTTTTTTTTACACTCTCATCATATACAAGACAAATTTTTCATTTTGAAAAATGTAGTCAGGAAGCCAATGAATAAAAGTCAGAAAGCATACACAATTCAACGTAGCAAGTAAATGACTATTGTTTATACAAACAACTTAAAGAAAACCGGTTATACATATTGATTTCCCTGGGATGGAACAATACATTTGTTTCTAGATTAAATGTTAGAATTTTTTTTTCTTTTTCTTTTTTTGTGGTCTTTTTGAGACAGGGTCTCCATGTAGCCCCAGCTGGCCTGGAACTCACTATGTAGACCAGGCTGGCCTTGAACTCACAGA